TTGTATTGAAGGGCAGTCCCACCATATATATGTGGGGTTGGCGTTGGGATAATGGCATCGCCAGCATGTGAATTGTGAGGAAGAGTAAAGTTTGTGAAGTGTGGAGGGCATGTAATGCCACCTGGCGCTAGTCTTTTATAGTTCCCTTCCTGTGTACCTGTGCATGATGATGTATGGGTTCTCGCGAAAATTTGCCTCCACTGGTCTGGTAAGAGATTAACTTGTAGTCCAAGGGCCCACTTACCAATGTATGAGGGTAATGAACGATTCTGGGTTTTGATCAATAATTTATACATTGTTGAGAGTATTTTACCTTTTAGAGGGTGTTCAGAACAAAGGTTTTCAAAGTCAGTGAGTTCTCTTGCCCCTTCTGGTAAAAGTTTCATGGATTGGATAACGTGTATTAGTTGTGAGTAGTGCAACTGTTGCATCCACGTTGGGTTCTGGGTTTCTGCTAGTGCCTGTATAGGTTTAATAGTATCACCCTTTATCACCTCCCTGAGTTGGATATGAGTACCTGTGTGGTTAGGGTCTATTAATCTGTATACCACTGATTTAAAGGGGGGGACATTTATATTTTCATCCCAAGAAATAATGCTCCTATGTATACTTTATAAAACCTTACTGGCCTTAGCATCGGCTGATTTGCATTGCACATTGTTGCCTATAACAGTTCCCAGTTCCTTCTCATGTGGTGGTATCTCTAGTTCACAATCATTTAGGGTGTAATTTGCTTGTGCATTCTTTACCACAATGTGCAAAACTTAGCATTTTTCTACATTAAATTATATCTGCCATTGGGTGCTCAGCCCCCCAATCTATCTAAATCCCTATGCAGCAAAGCAATATCCTGCTCACATTGTATTACTCTACAGAGTTTTGTGTCCTCTGCAAACACTGAAACATAACTTCCAATGCCTATTTCAAGATCATTTATAAATGTTAAATCAAAGCAGTCCCAGAACAGAACCCTGAGGGATACCACTTGCCACTTTTGTCCAGCTTGATAATTTACCATTATTGATAACTCTCCGTACTCTATCTTAAGTCCAATGTTCTATCCAAGAACAAGACTTCTCATCTAGACCAATTTATTTTAGTTCAAACACTAACCTATTGTGGGGAAGCATTTCAAACACCTTGCCAAAATCCAATGTCTTTTACCATTGTTCCAAATCTGCTCTATACACAGAGGTATTTAATGGTAAGGGCAAGAACACATTATTTCATGGGCCTAGTCTAGCAGGGCTGGCACGTCCATAAGGCGGCACAGGTGGCCACCTTAGCGCGCCAGAGCAGGGGTTGCAAAAATCCGAATCCATTGCCTCTGGCTGGGGACTATGATTTTTCAACTCCCTTTGCTTTCCCTGCAGCCAGCACAGAGCAGGAGCAGGGCAGTGAAGTCAGCCGGCCTCCTCCGATGTCAGAAGGAGGGGGCGTGATTTCCACTGCTCCCAGACTCCCCAACGTTCCTGAATGTATCAGCAGCTCCAGCCTCCTGCTCCAGTGCAGCTCATCCCACCCGAGCACCATGGATAAGGTTCTCCCCCCTCACTGGCCCAAGGTAAGCCTCAGGGAGGAGGGGATACCTTTTAGCTTGTTTTCTATAATCAAATTTATTTTTAATTTTTTTTTCTGTTTTTTACTTAAGCAGCCCTCCTCTACAGGCCATGCCCCCACCATACTACCTCTGCTATACCCCAGACATCCCCAATCTTCCCTCTGCTGCCCCAATCTTCCCTCTGCTGCCCCTGTCTTCCCCTCTGCTGCCTCTGTCTTCCCCTCTGCTGCCCCTGTCTTCCCCTCTGCTGCCCCTGTCTTCCCCTCTGCTGCCCCTGTCTTCCCCTCTGCTGCCCCTGTCCTCCCACTGCTGCCCCTGTCCTCCCTGCTGCCCTGTCTCCCCACTGCTGCCCCTGTCCTCCCCTCTGCTGCCCCTGTCCTCCCCTCTGCTGCCCCTGTCCTCCCCTCTGCTGCCCTGTCCTCCCCTGCTGCCCCTGTTTTCCCACTGCTGCCCTGTCTTCCCCACTGCCCTGTCTTCCCCACTGCTGCCCCTGTCTGTCCCCACTGCTGCCCTGTCTTCCCTGCTGCCCCTGTCTTCCCCCTGCTGCCCCTGTCTTCCCCCACTGCTGCCCCTGTCCTCCCCTGCTGCCCCTGTCCTCCCCTCTGCTGCCCCTGTCCTCCCCTCTGCTGCCCCTGTCTTCCCCTGCTGCCCCTGTCTTCCCTCTGCTGCCCCTGTCTTCCCCTCTGCTGCCCCTGTCTTCCCCCCTGCTGCCCCTGTCTTCTCCCTCCCCCAGCCTTTACTGCCCCTGCATTCCCCCTTCACCCCACCTTTACTGCCCCTGCATCCCCCCTCCCCCCACCTTTACTGCCCCTGCATCTTCGCCTGTGTAGCCAAAAATCCTTGCACCAGTCCTGTAATCTAGAATACAAGTGAATCCATCAACATTAATGAATAACTGACTGGCTCTCGTGATCAAAGTGATTTTGTTAAAATATAACATGCTATAGCTACTGATTCCCTCGCACAAAATCAAGGCAGAAATAATGCCAATAGCGAAGTCGTAATGTAAAGTAAGGGTTTTTCTGTATTTTTAATGTTGAACTGAAACTTTGTCATTGACATTAAAAATTAAGAAAAAATATCAAACTATGTGAAAATGTTGAAAACCAGTGGGAAGAGAATTCGGATAAATAAGCTGAATGGGATAAAAATTGATGAGGAAATAAAATGATAAAAATAAAGATGTTTTTATTAAGTGATGATCTAACTTGCATACAAACAACTGTTTAAAGGTATAGAGTTTAGCTTGTCATGGAGCTCAGTGTAAAATATAGGATATGGTTCATGAGACTATTTTCTTAATTACTGGTTAAAGAGATACTATATGCATCAAAAAAAATTTAGTTTAAGGATAGCAGTTTTGGTGTACAGATCATGCCCCTGCAGCCTTATTGCTAATTTATCTGCCATTTAGGCGTTAAATCACTTTTGTTTATGTTTATACTGCCCTAGCCACACTTCCCTTGACTGTAACTCACACAGCCTGCATGAAAAAATGGTTTCCTTTTCAATCAAATGTTAAAGGAGTTTACCAATTCTTATCTCCTGCTCTGTAAATTGAACTTTAATCACACACAGGAGCCTGTTGTAGGCTCCAGAATGCTATTAACCAAGCAAGAGATAATCAATTTTAGATTAAACAGGCTGATATAAAGTAACCTTAAATATCCAGCTTCATTTTATGAAATTTTAGGAAGACTGTGCAAGACACACATGGAAGTGTGACTAGAGCTATATAAACAGTGATTTAACTCCTAAATGGCAGACAGGTGAGCCATGAGAATACAAAGGCATGATCTACACATCAAAACTGCTTTATTAAGCTAAAATTGTTTTGGTGCCTATAGTGTCCCTTTAATGCAGCCAGAGAGCAAATGACATGCAGGAGTCAGGGACTATACGAAGTCAAATATGTTTTTTTTAGGCTAGATTACAAGAACTGGAATGGCATTCTTAATCTGTCTTTTATTGGTATTGTGCTTAGTCGTTTTTGGTTTTGTTCAGTTTTTTGTCGAATGCCTCTTGATGCTGTTTTTTTTTTTTTTTTTTGCAGGAGCTGGAAGAAAATTATACCAGAGCGTATTCTGAGGCCCTATCTGCTTTTGGTAATGGATCTCTGTTTGTGGAAAAGTTCATTGAGAAACCACGTCACATAGAAGTTCAGATACTAGGTGAGGGGAAGGGAAATTTCGAAATCATATTAACAGTGTGCTTGCTTATTGTCATGGAGTCTGGCATTGCCTTATGCTGAATGTTAAGGTAACTTGATTCTAACACATGGTGGTTGCTATCCAAAAAGTGGGGTTCAGACAGGCTCTTTTGCACAGGTATAGTGGAATAGACACCCTTGACGCTTGGCAAGATTTTGTTTTTTAAATTAAATTATATTTTATCTATTTTATTTTTTTATTTTTTAAGACTCATGGAATGTGCATTTCCTCACAACCCAGCTACTTTTTTGTCTATAAGCAATGTTCCAAAGCATTTCTTTTCAGTGGTTCGGTTTCTCACTCTTGGCTCAGTTGTTTTTGTGCTTACACAAAAGTGTTCCTAAATGTAAAAATATTACTATAATTAGTTATGAGTAGAGTTGAGTGGACACCTGGATGTTCGATGTTTTGAAAAAAAGTCCGGGTTCAGGCTCGTACTTGACCACAAACCACATTGAAGTCAATGGGGACCTGAACTTTTGGGCACAAACATGCCTCTAAAAAACTCCTGGAAAGGGCTAGAGAGCTGCAAAAGGAAGCGAAATTGGGGTACGAGTAGGACAAGTGTCCTGCAAACAAATGTGGATAGGGAAATCACTTAAAATAACATAAAATACCTAAAAAATTTACATACAGCTGAGCCATAAAATAGCACTAGATGGAATCTTTGATTTTAGCTTTGGAAGAACCTAAATCAAAATCTAAAGCATGGCTGTCAGGAGGATCACCAGAATTATCCATTTTAGAGAGGGTTGGAGTGCAGGGTATTCTTTCATTGTTCAAATTGAGCTCAACTCTTGATGCATGGAGAAAAGGTCTTCACAAGCCTCTGCTATGGTGCACATAGTTTATACTAAGTGACCCATAGGTTGAGGAGGCAGTGACCGTGGTGGTATAGGTGGAAGCAGTGGAGGAGGAGGATGAGGTAGCCAACATTGTTTGTGTTTTTTGATATTTTTTTTTTTTATATTGTGGTAGCCCACAAAATATTGGGACATACAAAAAAGAAACATTTGCGGCCTGTGGTGCATTTCTTGCAGTCCTGATGCATGGAGAAAAGGCCTTCACAAGCCTCTGCTAATGTGTACATAGTTTATACTAAGTGACCCATAGGTTGAAGAGGCGGTGTAGGTGGAAGCAGCAGTGGTGGAGGAGGAGGTAGCCAACACTGTTTATATATATATATATATAATTTATTTTATTTTATTTTTTGGGGGGGTAGCCCCCAAAATATTGGGACATATAAAAAAAAAAGACAACTCGGTTCCGCAGAGTCGCTGTTGACATTATAGTTGCACAGGCACTTTGTTGACTCTAGAGAACCACGGGCCAATCGCACATCCCCGTGACGGCGACTTTGCATTCGGATGTCATCCATATCAACTTTCGATGCCAGTTTCTGCGCCTAACATGGTGACCACGGGTAACGGGGAATCAGTGTTCCATTCCGTACAGGGACCCTGAGAAACTGCCACCACATCCAAGGAAGGCAGCAGGCGTGCAAATGACCCACTCCCGACGCAGGAAGGTAGTGACGACAAATAACAATACAGGACTCTTTAGAGGCCCTGTAATTGTAATGAGTCCACTTGAAATCCTTTAACTCTGATCAGTTGGAGGGAAGTCTGGTGCAGAGCCACTGACCCGTGCGTGCTGCAGCTGAAACCCTTACTATCGTCTGCTGCTGCCTGCACAGTCTCATGAGGCGGTGAGCGAGAAGGCAGAAGTTACGCTGCAGTGCAGACAGGCGAGCAGCAGCAGGGTGAGAATGCCAAAAGCGTGCCCACAGCCGCTACAGTGAATGTCACATCCTGTTCCAGATCCTGTTGCGGATCAGTCTGGTGATGGCTTCTGGTATCCAGTACTCTTTTTACTGAAGCTGCATCAGGGTCCTGGTATGTGGCCGCACAAATGCTGGTGCTCAACACCAGGGGGCGTGCGGTTACCCTGCACCAGACCCTGCTAATCCATTCCACACTGTGACTCCTAACTTCATCAGGCATACTGGGTCCCAGTCGTCTGACCGCCGCCCAGACAGTGTCTGGGTCCTGGTCACCGGACTGCCCACCTGACTACAAATGGATCGCTAAATCTTGTACGAACCCGAACTTTGCACTTCGGGTTCGCTCAACTCTATTATGGATCCTTTGAGCGCTACATGTATTACTTGGATAACTGTTAATTCTCGAGTTAATACATGCGGACGAGTGCTAGGGGACGGCCGCTCCACTTTTGCACCCTGCTCCCTCTTATGCTGTGCTGGTGCCTCTGTGCGACCAGCGCCTCTTCCTCCAAACTGCACACATCACTCGCATGACCTTGATTCCATGTGGGGTCTAGGACCTCATCATCCTCCACATCATCTTCCACCCACTCCTCAACCCTGTCGTCCTTGCCAGTATGCACACTGCAGAAAGCCACAGCAGTTGGCACCTGTGTTTTTTCAGCATGTAAAGTCTGCAAATGACATATGGAAATTGTTTTAGAATTCTATCCAGACAACAGTTTTACCTATAAACTGTCCTCTCAGATTGACTTGTGAGGGTATTGCCCTAGACTTACAATATTGTTGAAGTACCTCTTAGCTCTTATCTGGTAGTTTCTAGTGTAGAAAATATCAATCTGTTTTCTATCACTTAGATCTGTGTAACAAGTGTTGTAGGTGTGAAACAATATTACAAGTGACCGATGTAGTAAATTTGAATCAAAGTTATGCTTCGATTTGACTCTCCGATATGAAGTGAACACCCCAAATATACTATTTAGCACCAAAAAAAACGGACTTTATAAAACTCCAATGTAAGCAGCAGATTAGCAGCAAAACAATTAGAATGTTTACAACTGCGCAGTAAGTGCACTATTTGATGCTTCGATTTGACTCTCAGATATGAAGTGCAAGCCCCAAAATGTACTATTTAGCAGATTAGCAGCAAAACAATTAGAATGCTTACAACTGCGCTGTTGATGCTTATATTTGACTCTCAGATATGAAGAGCAGGCCACAAAATGTACTATTTAGCAGATTAGCACCCAGAAAATACGAATTTTTACCACTGCGCTGTAAGCACACTATTAAATGCTTCGATTTGACTCTCCGATATGAAGTGCACCGCAGGCCGCAAATGTACTATTTAGCAGATTAGATGCAAAATAATTAGAATTTTTACAACTGCGCAGTAAGCGCACTATTAGACGCTTCTATTTGACTCTCGGATATGACGAGCAGGCCCCAAAATTTACTATTTAGCAGATTAGCACCCTGAAAATTAGAATTTTTATAACTGCGCTGTAAGCACACTATTAGACGCTTTGATTTGACTCTGATATGAAGAGCAGGCCACAAAATGTACTACAGGGAGTGCAGAATTATTAGGCAAATGAGTATTTTGACCACATCATCCTCTTTATGCATGTTGTCTTACTCCAAGCTGTATAGGCTCTAAAGCCTACTACCAATTAAGCATATTAGGTGATGTGCATCTCTGTAATGAGAAGGGGTGTGGTCTAATGACATCAACACCCTATATCAGGTGTGCATAATTATTAGGCAACTTCCTTTCCTTTGGCAAAATGGGTCAAAAGAAGGACTTGACAGGCTCAGAAAAGTCAAAAATAGTGAGATATCTTGCAGAGGGATGCAGCACTCTTAAAATTGCAAAGCTTCTGAAGCGTGATCATCGAACAATCAAGCGTTTCATTCAAAATAGTCAACAGGGTCGCAAGAAGCGTGTGGAAAAACCAAGGCGCAAAATAACTGCCCATGAACTGAGAAAAGTCAAGCGTGCAGCTGCCACGATGCCACTTGCCACCAGTTTGGCCATATTTCAGAGCTGCAACATCACTGGAGTGCCCAAAAGCACAAGGTGTGCAATACTCAGAGACATGGCCAAGGTAAGAAAGGCTGAAAGACGACCACCACTGAACAAGACACACAAGCTGAAACGTCAAGACTGGGCCAAGAAATATCTCAAGACTGATTTTTCTAAGGTTTTATGGACTGATGAAATGAGAGTGAGTCTTGATGGGCCAGATGGATGGGCCCGTGGCTGGATTGGTAAAGGGCAGAGAGCTCCAGTCCGACTCAGACGCCAGCAAGGTGGAGGTGGAGTACTGGTTTGGGCTGGTATCATCAAAGATGAGCTTGTGGGGCCTTTTCGGGTTGAGGATGGAGTCAAGCTCAACTCCCAGTCCTACTGCCAGTTCCTGGAAGACACCTTCTTCAAGCAGTGGTACAGGAAGAAGTCTGCATCCTTCAAGAAAAACATGATTTTCATGCAGGACAATGCTCCATCACACGCGTCCAAGTACTCCACAGCGTGGCTGGCAAGAAAGGGTATAAAAGAAGAAAATCTAATGACATGGCCTCCTTGTTCACCTGATCTGAACCCCATTGAGAACCTGTGGTCCATCATCAAATGTGAGATTTACAAGGAGGGAAAACAGTACACCTCTCTGAACAGTGTCTGGGAGGCTGTGGTTGCTGCTGCACGCAATGTTGATGGTGAACAGATCAAAACACTGACAGAATCCATGGATGGCAGGCTTTTGAGTGTCCTTGCAAAGAAAGGTGGCTATATTGGTCACTGATTTGTTTTTGTTTTGTTTTTGAATGTCAGAAATGTATATTTGTGAATGTTGAGATGTTATATTGGTTTCACTGGTAATAATAAATAATTGAAATGGGTATATATTTGTTTTTTGTTAAGTTGCCTAATAATTATGCACAGTAATAGTCACCTGCACACACAGATATCCCCCTAACATAGCTATAACTAAAACAAACTAAAAACTACTTCCAAAAATATTCAGCTTTGATATTAATGAGTTTTTTGGGTTCATTGAGAACATGGTTGTTGTTCAATAATAAAATTAATCCTCAAAAATACAACTTGCCTAATAATTCTGCACTCCCTGTATTTAGCAGATTAGCAGTAAAAAAATTAGAATGTTTACAACTGCCTAGTAAGCACTTTATTTGACGCTTCTATTTGACGTTTCTATTTGACTCTCAGATATGAAGTGTACACCCCAAATATACAATTTAGCACCCAAAAAAATTGACTTTTTAAAACTCCAATGTAAGCAGCAGATTAGCAGCAAAACAATTATGTTTACCACTGCGCTGTAAGCACACTATTAGACGCTTCTATTTGACTCTCAGATATGAAGTGCACCCCACTAAAATACTATTTAGCACCCAAAAATTTTTAAGTTTTAAATGTGACCGCATGCTTCTGTTTGACTCTCAGATATAAAGTGCACCCCACTAATGTACTATCCCACTAATGTACTATTTAGCACCAAAAAATTTTACATTTTAAAACTCCGATGTAACCGCGGTATTTGAAGCTTCTATTTGACTTTCAGATATGAAGTGCACCCCACTAATGTACTAGTTTGTAGCATTATTTCCTAAGCTGTCCCTCACAGCTGCAGCATCCTCTCCCTACACTAATAAGAGCTCGTGTGTGCGGCGCTACGCGACTCCAGCTTATATATAGAGGCTGGGTCAAATGCTGCACTGGCCAATCACAGCCATGCCATTAGTAGGCATGGCTGTGGTAGCTTCTAAGGGCACACTAGTCAAACGCTTTTTGATTGGCTGCCCTGCAGCCTTTGAAAACGCGCAATTAAATCACCGAACTCCAACCCGAACATACAGTGATATGTCCGTGTTTGGGTCCGGGGTCCAAAAAACGTAATGTTCGGTACAAACCTGAACTTTACAGTTCGGGTTTTCTCCACTCTAGTTATGAGTTTACCCCCCCCTCTTTTACACCGAGCATGGATCGGGTTCTTTTTGAGAAGTCTACTTGAATGGTTTTGGTTCTTTGAAGCAGTGAATGGACAGTGCCTCTGAATGTGGTATGCAAAATGGTTACCAAAAACAAATCACTGTATATATTTTATGTGCATAGCAGTCCTGTAAGTTAATTTCCCTATAAATACTAATGAATTAATTGTCCCATAAGTGCAGTACTCGCAATGATCTTAATTTGAAGACTTATCTGTCCTTGTTAGGCCTGTACATAATCCTTCAGGCATTCTTTGGTGTATTTGAGTGATGTTTCTGCCAGAGTAGTCCTTTGCTAAGTATGACCAATTTGACCTGATCAGATGTTCTATTTTAGCAGAACTATGTTTGCTACAAGGTCTTTAGATAGGTCAGTCTGCCTTAAATTAAACAGACTGCAGCAATCTTAAGCATGTTTAGCTGCTCATAGACAGCTATGTTTAGACTTTCCATATGTGTATATTCATTTACCTGTTGATCTTTGCAATAGGTTTTGAGTAAGTGTGCAGAGGAGTGTGGTTTAGTAACTTAACTTTAAATTCAATGTAAAATAACAATTAGCCCGAAAATATTATGAGAAATGGTCTTTGTAACGGATCGCCTGGCACCCCGACTGGGTACCTCCGTTGATGGATGCTCCTAGCGCTTCCTGAGGACTCCAAGCACTCTGGCAGACACCACAATCACCGAACCGGAGAAACAAATAAATTCTCACAAGCATATGAATGCTGTAGACAGTTG